CTTCTGCCTCCGGCTCTGGAGGGGGGGTTTGCAGGGCTGCTGGGGTCGATTTTGTACCGGGCTGGTTTGTTTTCCTGTTGGGTTGGGGTGTCCTGTCCCTGCCTGCCCAAAGGGGCCGGTGCTCGGGTGTCCCCCAGTGCCCCCCAGCCGCCCCTGGGGGCTTTTTTTTGCAGAGGGCTCAGCCCTGGGGGTGCTTCAGGGGCCGTCCCCCGTCCTGTGCAGGGGGTGGTGGCTTTTTCCCCGGGCTGTGCCCTGAGGTGCCCCTTCCTCCCGCAGCCCCCGTGTGCCCACCCGCTGCCATGCGATGCTCCCTGAAGCGCTCCCTCACGGCTGCGCTCGCAGCCTCCTTCCTCCTCCTCCTCCTCCTCCTCCTCCATGGGGGCAGCCGGCAGGAACAGGAGCCTCTGGAGGTGAGTCCTGCACCAGTGATGTCCCGCTGGAGCATCCTCCATCCCTGCCGACCCCAACCCCAGCTCGGCTCCCTTCCCTGCCCCACATCACCCCCATATCTCCTTCTCAGCTCCCTGGGGTTACCCCATGCACCTGGGCCACCCTGGATCCAGGAGCTGGGAGGGCAGGGGCTGCCTCTCATTTCTGGGTGTCCTCCCCCTTGCTCTATAGGGTCTGACCTGGCTGCCTGTGACCCCCATCCAGGTGGAGCTCAGGGGCTCGGCCCCAGACTTGGTCCTGCAGGTGCTGCAGCCACAAGGAGCCCAGCACATCCTCAGGGATAGAGATGACCTCTCTGCACTCCGCAACGTCTCCTACCACCTCCTCGCCGGCTCCCTCTCACCCCAAAAAAGTGAGTGGCTCCAGGACCCTGGACTGGGCAGAGCTCTGGGTTTGCACATCTCCTCCCATAGCAGCCACAGGCCCCATCACATCTGGGGAGGTGGAGAGGTAGAGGAAGGTCAGCGTGGTCCAAGTGTGGTCCATGCTTCTGCACTTTGGGAGTGGGGTGACAATTTTGGGCTTCACAGATCTCTGTGGGGAGGGTGGCTGAGACCCCAGCTCCCTGGGGTTGAGTTTCCTGTTGACCAGGCAGGAAGGTGGAGATGCTGGGGCTGGACAACTGGGATGATATGCACAGAAAGCAATTTGCATGCAAATAGGATGGGAAGGAGCTTTGTGCAGCCCCACACCAACCCATGCCGAAACCAGTACACGCACGGTGCAGTGCGTGGTTGCATCTCCATGAGGTGTGGAGTTGGGTAGGGGAAGGCTTCAAGGATGTGCAGCCATGCCACAAAACCATCCCTGACCCATGGGGGCAGTTTTGACTTTTTTAAGGTGTTTTTCCCAAATATTTCTTCTGCAGAGGAGTCTCATCCTGTCCTCTCCTTGCCATTTGGGCCAGTTTTGGGCACCTCCTGCGATGCTGGGAGCTTCAGCTTCAGAGAGGACCAGCTGGCCTTGGCTATGGGGCCATCAATAGCATTAACCATGAGGGTTGGCCACCTGGAGAGCTTTTTGGAGCCCCTTCCTTGTGGCTTGCAGGGAAAAGCCTCCCCCTGGTGTGTCTCAGGTCAGCCCTCAGCCTGCTGTATCGCCTTCTCCTCTGCCTTGCAGAATTTTTGACGGTGGGGTTGGCGTCGGTGCGGCGGCCGCGGGGGTACTACCTCCCAGCCACGCTGCAGTCCCTGTTCCAGCAGTCGACGGAGGAGGAGCTGCAGGAGATGGTGGTGGTGGTGCACCTGGCCGACGCGGACCCGAGCTGGAACACGCGCGTGGCGGTCGACATCGCCCGTAGGTTCGCTCCCCACATCCTCCTGGGCCGGCTCCTGCTCATCCACGCGCCCCACGAGTTCTACCCCACCATGGAGGGCCTCAAGAGAAACTACAACGACCCGGAGGAGCGCGTGAGGTTCAGGTCCAAGCAGAACGTGGACTACGCCTTCCTCCTCGCCTTCGCTGCCAACCTCTCCTCCTATTACCTGATGATCGAAGATGACGTGTGGAGCGCCAAGTCCTTCCTGACGGCCATCCGCAAGGCACTGGCATCCAAAGAAGGCTCCAACTGGGCCACCCTTGAGTTCTCCAAGCTGGGCTACATCGGTAAGCTCTACCGCTCCAGCGACCTCCCTCGCCTGGCTCGCTTCCTCCTCCTCTTCTACCAGGAGATGCCCTGCGACTGGCTGCTGACGCACTTCCGCCTGCTGCTCACCCAGAAGGACGTCATTCGCTTCAAGCCTTCCCTCTTCCAGCACATGGGTCTCTACTCCTCCTTCCAGGGCACCGTCAACCGTTTGGAGGACGACGACTTCCAGGCCGATGCCTTCGACCTCCCGGATAACCCACCAGCAGCCTTGTTCACCAGCATGGCCGTCTTTGAGGACCACGAGCCCCTCAAGGCTTACAGCACAGCAGAGGGGTATTTCTGGGGGAAAAACCCCGCAGCCGGCAGCGTCTTCTCCATCGTTTTCCAGCAGCCGGCCCAGGTCACCCGTGTCCGGGTGCGCACGGGCTCCAAGGAGCGCCAGGGCGATTTCCTGCATGCGGGGGTGCTGGAGCTGGGCCGGCAGCGCCGAGCCGATGGCCGGGACTGCTCTGCCTACACCACCCTGGGCACCTTTGAGAAGGGGACGTTCGAGCGGCGGGGGCTGGAGAGGGACTTGCCTGGCCCCGTGGAGTGCGTCAGGATCCGGGTAACCCAGGACCAGAGCGAGTGGCTCATCATCCAAAGCATCGACATCTGGACCACATCAGGCACCTGACGAGTTGCCAAAGGGGCTGGGTTTTGTACTCAGAGGTCCTTTATTTTTGATAAGGAATTAAATTATTGACTCCCGCTGCTGCCTGTCACCACAGGGATGGCAGACGCTGCTGGGGGATGTGGATGGGGCTGGGAGCAGGACCCACCGGGCTGTGCCTGCTTAGGGGATGCCCCAGTGAGCAATGCCAGGGGTGTGGGAGGAGCAGAGGCTCCGGAGTTTCAAGCTGGGCAGCAGAAAACATTTCCTACCAGGGAGAATGGTGCCCAGGACAGAGCTCATCAGCTGATTAGCGAACTCTGTTCAGTTTGGGTCCCTCACTCCCAGAAGGACATTGAGGGGCTGGAGCGTGGCCAGAGAAGGGCAAGG